GTTTGTACTCAGAATATCGCTGCAGTGAAAATGAGAGCTAGCTCATCGTTGACTGATCGTTTGACTGATCGTTTACTGTTGAATAAGGGTTGTATTATTCCAGGCCTTTATTTCAATCGGGAGGCGAACGTAGTTATTACGTAAGAGGTCGCTTGGTTTGCGGAATTCAAGGAGCTCAAGGAGCAAGAGTCTCCTTGTGGGAGAACAGAGGTGAGATGACTGATTCCTGAATGAATTTTGTGAGAAGCGCTAACGTCCTGCATTCTTTCATAGTAACTTCTGGTCTGAGCAGGTGGAGGCCAACCAGACGTGCATGACGAAGACGTGATTGACGCTTCTGGAACAGTCAGTCTGAAAGCCGAGATACGTGGAAGCAGTGGCGGAGGTTTCGGCAACGGAAATCTGATGATGACAATCATGCATAACTGTGACGTGAGTATTCATTTCTCGGCTCTATCGCAATATACAGGGCATTGTGATGGCAATGCATTTAAAATCGCGTAAAACACATTTTTTTTATTGGAAACGGGGCTAAGGTTCGGGCGGGGGAGGAAAGACTCGTTGTGTGTGAGCCATGCCCATTTTTCCCCGAGCTCTTGCCCCCTCTTCGGCTTAGTCCTATGGGATGCCCCAGTGAATTGCAAGAGCGTCCATTTTTCTTTTCTCCCTCTCCTCTAGTCGTACACGTGAACGATAAAAAGTTCACTGTTGTGCGTCCGTTTAAAAATGAGTCTCCGAATTCCTATCAGGACCCTAATGCTAAATACATTGAAAGGAAATGCATTGGAATACGAAGTTTTGTGGTTTTCATAATAGAAGTAAAATCTCAGATCATTTGAAATTTTCAGGGAAACAGGCAGTTGACCATTGCCCTCCCGCCGTCCTACTACAATCAGGGAATAGTTGCAATCAAGACTTTTGACCTTGGTATGTTGACTTTGCGCCTATCATTCGGCCTAGCCAGAGCATGGTCAATGATTTTGGGCTAAGAGATTGATAGGTAATATAGGCGAAGTTCATGCAAATTATTTCATTCAGGTACCATTAATCTCGAGGCTCGCTATTCTGAGGAGAGTAGTGGATTCAATGGTGGTGGTCGTGGAGCAGGATTTGGTAGTGGTGGTCGCCTTGGTGGTTTTGGACAATTTGCTGGATTACCTCAACCAATCCAATGATTTTCACCGCAGCGGATTATTCTTTCAAAACCTTTTGCATAGCCACTGTTTTTTGGATAGATGTGATTATTTCAGTTGTTTGTAAAAATTTGTGGTGCAGTAAAGTTTGTGTCGTTTGACTGATTGCTTCGAAAAGCTAGTTTTCGTAAGATAAGGGTTCATCAAAAGCACAAAGCCGAAGTAGAACTTTGTAATTGTTTATTGCACAGGTTAACACCCATGCTAAAATAACGAAAAGCATAAAAACCCAGAGGTAACAAACAAGAGGAACAGTTCCTAGGCAATCTATAGTTAACTAGGAGCTACAAGAGTGAAAGAAAAGAAAGAAAAAAAAACGAGGACATAACAAAGAGTGTTAGGATGCAAGGTACTTTTCTAAGGCTTTCTTGAATGAACTTAGTTTGTCCGTTGAAATACCTAGTCTAAGCAGCCTAGTAAACTCCGAGCTAGTTCTGTTAACAAAAAAGTGGCGTCTGACGTTGCGTTTAGCCCTGGCAATTGAAAATTTTGTAGGGCATCCCCTAGTTCTCGATTCCCTAACGAATAGCAAATTATGGGGCTTGAACCCAGAATGACCATGAAAAATCTTGAAGAGCGTTATCAAATCAAATTTCCTCCTTCTGAGCGCTAAAGTTTCAAGATTGAGATTAGCATTCCGTGTTACTCCAGAAGGGATCTGATCATATTTGAAACCGATCACTCTCAGGAAAAGTTTTCGAGTAAAAGTATTTTGAACCCTCTCCAATGTGTTGATAACTTTCACTTTGTGCGGATTAAATATGACGGTCCCATATTCTAATAGAGGTCTAACGTAGGTTGCGTAAGCTCTGAGGAGCACATGAGAGTCCTTAGTTGTCAAAGCTCTGAACAGGTTGAATGTGAGAGCTGTTGCTTTGGAGGCTATCCTAGAACAGTGTTCGTCGAAGCTCAGATCGCTACGGATGAGGAAACCCAAGGCTCTAATTTCACTCACCACCTCTAACTGTACATCACTGATTGAATATGAGGGATCAACAACAACTTTACCTAAATGTAGAACTTTGGTTTTTTCTTGGGAAATGGGCAGGTTCCATTGCGCTGCCCAGCAGTTGTATCATTGTGATAGCATTCCGAAGTAATTCTTTTCTTGTTTGAGCGGGCAAGAACTTTAGACTTTGTTCGTATATACGGAGCTCGGATCAGAAACATGGTACTTGGGTTGGACGAGAAGTCATACGTCGAACCGCAGGAATGTATCACCATAAGGCAGAACAGCCGAGCGATGCCTGCCGAGGAGCTTTCATCCGCTTTGAGAACTTTTTCTCTTATGAAGTGCAAATTGTTCTCCATAGAAACACCCAACCTAATACTCAGACGGCTGCTGGCACAACACAGCTATAACGCTGTTTGTGCCTCCTGTTTGTAGGCGATGCAGCAGCCGATAAGAAAGTTGCAGACTGGTTCGTCCTCTATCGCTCCAAATTCAACGTTAACCCTTTGACGACAGTGCGGATTTGCGCGCAGCTTGCTCATGGGATCACGCCTCTTTTTGGCGCGCCCATTTCGCGCTCACAATTGGGCAAAGTTGTCCCTCAAAGCGGTTTTCCTACAGAATGTTGGACCTTGGCTTATAGCAGAGATAAGTGCAATCTGCGCTCCCACAGTACTGTATATTGTTTTCAAAAGAATTCCAAATCAAAGAGGTGTAAAAATGGGTAGGGATTTTGAAGGTGAGGATAGCAAAACCCTTGAAAAATTTAAGTGTACAGAGGATTCTCGACACACTTCAAACTTTTTTCTGCATTTTGAGGGCAACGAAAAGACGAAGAAGTCCAGATTAGTAATTAATCCGGCCTAATTATGCAAAATCCCAATTAAGCTGGCGAGCTAAATGGCACATTCTAAAATCCTATATAAATTAGCTCTTAATAGACATTTCTGTAAGTCGTGTGCTAGTCATAGATATTATGGAACTTCTAATTATCAATGTGTTACGATGTTTAAAATGCACAAAGAAGGAAATTTCAAAGTGCACTAACCATTGGGTGCCATTGTCCCACGCCGCGGACATAGTGACACCCACTGGTGGATGTCATT